TACCGCGCGCATGCTCGGACGCACGTGAGTACCCAAACCCCCGTGGATATGTGGGAAGAAACAGGGTCTTGGAGGAATCAATATACGGCGCTGCCACGGTGGAATACTGTCCGCAACTTTGTGAACTTCGAACGTTGAACTTTTGAACTTTCGAGCGCATTGTTTTCGGGTGGTGTTTCGTTGTGGGTGCGCCATATATCGATTACTCAAAAGTCAATAGCTTTTCCCAATACATTTCCGGCAGAACTAATTCGATCACTTGGCAAAACCAATCTGATCGCTAGCAGTTTCTTCCACCGAAAGCAGTAGCTGCCTTCAGGTACCCGTCACCCTGCGCAATGTATTGAGTGGGGGTGATAGAGTGCCAAGTGATGCACTACCACACGTATAGCCCGGAGATCAGATTTTTGGTTGATACTCGCCTATGTCGACCAAGCCCTACATCCCATCGGGGTCCTGAGGTTAGAAGCACTGACTCGTACATCGGCGGGCCACCGCAACTCGTTGTATAGCCGGTAAGGTCCTGAATGGAAGCAAAATGCCAGAACACAATGCTAACTCAATTCTGATGTGGGGCTCTCACTTTCCCAATGACTCAGTTTTCCCCTCAAAAAGTAGTGTCGGAGCTCGCCTCGGCTCATGGATCCGTGTCATTGTTGTGGAATCAGACGTCCTGTCTCCCTCCTTTCAGATTCACATTTTACAAGGGTAAGCTTTTAGATGGATAGCTTTCACTATGAAAATTGGCTTGCCACTGGGCTTACCCGCCACTCCACTACACTACTCAGACTTCCCTGATCCTCAGGGGCTTTACGGGTTGAATCCAAACGCCATCACAATCCTGACTAAGATTGAAATCAGAGTTTAGTGGAGAGTCCAATTTGTTTTGTCTGATCGACTGCTAGTTATAGCTACAGACATTGTTAAAAATCAGAAATTTCTATTGGAGGTGAACGAGAAGATGGATCGGGAACGACTGAGAAAGCTAGATCTGATAAACTTACTCATGAACGGAACAACTCAACAACAGAGAAAACTAGTGAGACGGCTTTGAATGGAGCTATTTTTGTTTCGACCACTCCTGAAGCACCCTCCATGGGAGGGGTTGTCACTAGTCCCATTGAGAAGGAGAGCAACTCTAGCAGACAACATTTCGCCGATTCTTTCACATTAGCGGTTACTAAATCGGTAAATGGCAGAAAAGACGATTTGGAAAGGTCCACCAAGGCCTATTCTGCAGCTGTACAACGACATTTCATAAATAGAAATGGTAAACAAGACAACGAACAACAACAAACAACAGCAGCTCATCTAACCATGTCTCATGAAGGCGTTTATGGAAAAGGCAGTGCGGATCACTTAACGACAAGAAGCAAACCTAGCAATATCGATGCCCAGAAGGATTCCGAAGGGTCCGATGGCGATGACCATCCGTCAGGGAAGACCTCTCATGCAAAACAACATCTAGCTTCGGCTAAAAACTTATCCGATCAAAGTAACAATCACGATCTTGCAGGAAATGAGTCGAGGAACCATCCACCAAACAAGACAGAACAACCCTATGGCTTACCGTTGTCGCCCTCGACCAAAGAAGCACTCCGTAAAGGAGCTATTCGGGCTTACAAGACGAGTATTTCCGTAGATTTACCGCATTCCACAACAGAAACGATCCATCATAGGGGAGAATATCGGAATGCCCCTATTCAGACATATAATTCCACGGTGAAAGTCGAAGTGACCACGGAACACGGGTCGTCTTCAGCCAGGGATATGGCACCTACAGTAATTGCTCCCACGAAATCTTCTGTTCCAACGATGGAGGCGAAGTTAAGGCTTGGGCATGATTCTTCTTCTGCCAACAACACAACGTCTGCAGAACCTGCCCATACAACACTACCTATCATGGCAATGACAACTGCAAGGCTTCTGAAGGTATGACTTCTAGGTTTCTTTTTTGTAAAAGTTCATTTGCTCCCCGTTTTTCCCAAGAATATAGCTGAGAAACACCTGGATGGGTAGGACTTGGCACAGCAGCAGCAGGCACAAGTAGACATGGTAGAATTTCAAGCTGCGGAAAGTGATTTATTCTTAACAATGATTGGCTGGCAACCTTCAAAACCTTTGAAAGGAGAAAGAAACATAACGGTGTTGCAATATTCCCGATCCAGTCACATTGTGCGGGGCTTCCTAGTTAGTTGTCTTACCTGTGCACCAGTTTCTATTAATGCATAGCAGATGGCCACGCCCATGCCTTTCAGAAATAGCGGCGCTCTTCAGCCGGATAAGTTGGGATTCAGTTGGACAGTAGTTCTTAGCGGAAAGAGCCACATAACGTTTCCGTATCCTGAGCTTTTTAGGGAGGGACGGGGGACAAGAGGATCGTACTTTACCCTGAACAGAGATTGGTCCAGACTGTGTGAGATCTGTAATAAGTATAGATAGGTCTTCCCATTCTGCCTCTCCCTTCAGACGGTACTGCAAAAAAGAGGGATGGGTTGAGGGTCAGAGAAGCTTTTTTTGTTGTGGCGCTTCAAAGGACACTATAGCTCACCATCATGACTTATACTTGCCCATCCTCCCCTCCCCCCTCCACCCTCTCCCTCCTCTACGTTATGTCGTCATTTAATTAAAAAATGGTGAAAGTTCCAGGTTGTAAACGAAACCGTCACATATCTCCAGGATGGCTCTGTGGTTCTTATGCAACGGCTGTTCTATTCAAATGGGACTTCCGTCTACCGTAACATTACGAAACTTGGTATTTGTCTTTGTCATTGTCGAAATACGGGCTAGTATCTCGTAACCATTCTTAGTGTTCCTTGAAAAGTTTCAAACTCATGTGCTGATAGGTTGTGGATACAGTTGACACTGGGAGCGAGGCGCTACGGCCCAATCAATACGCATCTGATATGTAGTTTCTCAGAAAGTTAGAATTGGGCTCCTGAAGCAGGTCGCCTCCAGCGCCTCGGTGCTCCTTCAGTTTTATGGCTTTCGACTGAACTCAAACCTCAACCACTGACCCGGAACTTTTCCCGACAAGAGTACTACTACAAGCCCAGGCAAAGNCGGGACCTCATTCCTCCCTGCGCACCAGCCCTCGGCGTTAGAGACGCAGAGCATACGGAACTGTCCCTCTCGCTAAGTTCTACACAAAATCCTATTTCATATGAACTAGTTCAGTATTATTCAGAGGTAATATTGTAGATGTGTTGACCCTTCATTATCAAATGGTTTGACAAGAAGTTGTAGGCACAACGACAACAAGAACGTCACCGGAATCTGTCCCTCGACCAACACCTACAGAGCACATTGAAAAGCAACCACTGTCTGAAACAACGCCCATAGTACCGAATCCTCCAGGCGTTATATTCGGACCCAAAAACGATTCAGGACAGTCAGGTGGGTGAAAATTTTAAAGTCGAAGGAGTCGTTTAGTGTAGGTGTGAGATAGAGCGCTTTACTTGAAGAAATGTTGTTCCGAAAGAGCCTGTCCAAAATTTATATGAAAGGTAGAACTAACTCGAAAGGGAAAGGTGCTTCTTCTAGGTTCTTTCTTGATGCTACCGGTGTCACCGTCGTCGGTCTATCTTGCTTGCAGCTCCCATGGTATCCCCCTACTTATATAGAGCAAAGGAACTGCTTTTCCGTGAACTTTCTCTCTCATTTCATTTCTATCAGGGTATACAGAACTAACTGCCAAAAATTTCACAGAAGACCAAAATTTCTAAGTGATGTTCCAGCAGTTTCCCTAGAAGTATTGTACAAAGACGCCACTCATTGGTATGTGCCCAAGATATCCCGAAATTCCATGGTGTCGCAGTTGGTTGACCAGATTGCAGCTCATCTTTGACTTTCATGTTTCCTACTCGACGCTTTGGAACGTGGCGTCCACAGGACTGCTTAGAAAAGGCTTTTAGACCAACTACTTGAGTAGGTTACGAAAGCTTCGTCAGCGAAGTGATCGGGTTGGATCGGGTTGTAATGATGTACGAGTCGGATATAGGGAGACATTGGGACCGTCATAGGAAGGAAATCGTAGGCGGATAGTTATCGCACACAAGCGCACTAGTGCCCTTGCACAACAATTCCATGGAACTTCCAGGACATTTCAAAAAAAATCTGCGCTGTTGGGAGATTTTTGGCAGAACTTCTCGAGTACGAAATAACTGCTAGAATAGGAAAGGTACATCTATCAATTAAAAGAAATTGACGAGTCATTACTGAGTACAAACCGATTCCCTTCAAATCTTTGCCTACCCTCCCTCTCAAAGCCCTTATTCAGCAGTAATTCCTCGGCATACAATCCTCTCCCTGATTACTGGGCTATCCCCTCATTAGAAATCTTTTTGATTTTTCAAAAATCAGAGTTTTACCTTTTCGACCGTTTACTGGACGGAAAAATTCGATAGTAATGCACATCTGCACAGGCTTCAAACGAGAATTGACCTAATGCGGTTTCTTATCTTTCTATAATCCCTTTATAATCGTGGCTTACTCTCGATTTCGCCACAAGCCTTTGAATATTTTGAGCTCCAAGGAATGAAACGAGCCCGCATGACCAGGGTATTTGAAATTAAGCCAAGCTTAAATAATATTTTTAGTTACGAAATGCCCTCAAATCGAGGTCGACCTATCGAACAGTATCTCACCTCTTCCGAATTCAACAGAACTCTCAGGTCCTCAGCTACCTGGGACGTTGGTTATTCACATGTGCTCTGTCTCGTAAGTTACAAATGCTTTCAAATTTAAGACAGAATCAGCTATCCTTTTGAAGCTGCGTGACCAACGCCATACAGCCGACGAGCAGTGAGAGTACGCTCAAACTGGAGGAATTGAAAATTGTGGCCATATTCGAGTCTCCGGATATAGGGGTCGTTTTTTTTGGAAAGGGCTTGGGGAAGAACGGCGCGAGAGATTCAAGTTGGTGAAGTGAACAATCGCTCCACAGAATCCCGTCTCACAGTAGGTTCTTCTAGCAGCCCTGTTCACAGCGGGTTACAAACCCTGTCGCCAACCTTACCCGTGTTTATGTGAACGCTTAAGAACCAAGACGAGCTATACGGGGCTGTCTGAAAACTACCAACTCAAGGTCTAGAGTAATGCGTGGTTATGCTTCTTTTCTGTGAACAGATTTTCGATTACTTTCTCTTGCTGGAAAGTGAGTTTAGAGCGCACGGGGAGTGTCGGATATTTGTAGTTATTCATCGTCTCCAAATATAAATGCTGTCTGAAACCCTGGAAATTGTTCTTAAAAGCTTACAGGTATGTATTTCCAACGCTTCAACAGCCGTTGAAAATCTATGAGTGTCTAAACACTGGAGAATGGACCGACAATAACAACGGCGACAAATGCGAATGTAAGTAATTTTCGTCTACAGAAAGCGTTCATAGTTGGGGAAGCGTAGAGCGCTATGCTACAATTTAGATGCATATTGATTCTCCCTGACTTTCTTCGCGTTCCGTTTTTCGCGTTCCATGCGCGGAGCGGCGCGTGCGTTCCACCAATTCTCGCAGTTGGCGATGCCTTAATTGTCCAGATCGATACATATTAAATACTGTTGGCAAGCTACCTCCAAGCTTAGTGGTAGCCAATCACTCGGCTGTGACGTCATCTTCGATTAGTTAGCATGGATCTGCAGGAATGAGTAAAAATGATCACTGTTGAAGCTCGAGTCCACCCAGTATGTTAGGTTTACCATATGGAAATAGTAGATGGATTTGGCTATTGTTGTTTACGGCTTAACCACCAGTAAACATATTGCCCTCAATAAGCAAAGGAGTCTTGAAAGTTGATGGAAAGTGCTGAACGAATGGTCGTTGAACTCTGACCGCCATAATGGTTGACAATTGTCTCAACCTAATTACTCCATCTCCCTCTCTCCTTTTCTTGAACAATAGCCAAATGAAGAGGAAGGATCACTTCACGGGTTCAAATATTGTTTGAAAGCAACTTATATGTTGGGTTAGGGGCGGAGCATAATGTCCAGTAATTGACAGTTGACTCGATTCTTTTTGAGACGTCAGACGTAGAGGTAGATCAGTAGATGATTCTTTTTTGAGAAACTTGATATTGACTTCTGTTTTTTTTTTCAGATGTTGCACCTCGTCGGAAGAACTCTGCTGATCTGTAGAGGTCTCAGCTTCTCTCGAAGCTTTCGAAGACTTTTGTGAACATCCAAGACGTTGCTCTACGTACTTGTCGAACAATTCTGTTTTACTTTAGTCTCTCCGGCATTGCTCACAGTCTGCCTTAGATCTTAGGGAATCGAAGAATTCGAAGGTCGATGTGTCCGCGACAGTCGTTGAACAGGTATCGAGCAGAGGCTGTGGATAACCGGGGGTGAGGATTCTCGTACGGCCCAAAAGGGATGCATTCAGTTGATTAAATGCAAAAAGGCCTATCGAAGGTACAGCTCACGGTAAAAAAAGGGATCCTAAAATATCTTCCCGAGATGAAGCTGTGACCTCCAAAGATAGCGCAAGGGAAGCTGTCGGGTTGAAAAACAGCCCAGATAGGACGGGCAACAGAACCGGCTTAGCCGACATACACACCCAAAGGCGGACGAGTTCTCACGAGGTGTAGAAGCTGCAGTGGTTGCAACACACGCACCGGGGCGCACACGTTGCACGCATGCAGCTTACTGTAGCCAGCTTTACGCAATGGCACACACACGTTTGGACAACTGGTCCAGACACCCCTTTCATGCACCATTTCTCGTCACACTCCCGTCCAACCCCTGGTTTTACAACTTTTTTTGAGCCTTATCTTTCTCTAAATACGCCTCGCGTTTTCTTTGCCATTTTTGCACTATGTTGGACTATTTTTCCGCTATTCATCTAGGTTTAGATACACTAAAATTATCGCAAACTGTACCTTTAAAAACGCGGAATCTTCAATTTCAAGGGATTGCAGACTGTGGACATCGTCTCAAAGATCTATACACTTCTATATTCAGGTGTAAGATGTGACGTTATGCCAAATGACAGTATATATGCTTATGATTTATCACCTGTTAAGACAACAATAAACATTTTTCACGGTTTACTTGACTGGTGTTTAATTAAATCTGAAAAAGCTTTACAATGAGAAGTGGACAAAAGAACTGGAGAAGGGGTGTATGATTGAGTGTACGCCACGCATCCGATAATTATTCAGATTCATACAGACAAGTCAACAACTTCAGCCACAATTTTGGTCTATTTCATTCCAACACCTTGAAAATAGGCCAATTCTCATTCATCCGTTGGAAGAACTACTTATGGCCCCTTTATCAAATGTTTGTGTTGGAAACTTCCGCTTTGAAAGGAAGTAAAGGCTTCGGTTGAGTGATCTATCTATACATACCCTTGTCACTGTCAATCCAGTACCTCAGATCCCTTCAGTCGAGAGATTTTCATCAGGGAAGTAGCGAGAAATACGGCTCATGGAGCTCTCAAGTTGTGGTGGCAGGGTTGAGCAACCCAGAAGACCGGGTGGAGGAGGAGCTCCGCGTCGACTTCACCTGTTGGGTAAGTCCAGAGGGCATCCGTTGAAAGCAATTCCAGGGAACGAGCCAAAAGCCGGGCAGCATATGGGCAAGAAAGGAGAAAAATGTTGAAGTAGTCTTTCGAATTCACTGAAAAAATGAAGTTCAGCAAGAAGCAGAGCTTCGGAAGTAGACTGGCGTTAAAATCAAAACGTTAGAAATTCGATAGAAGCTGGAATACGGGTTCGAAGTCAAAATCGGCAAGAAACTGAAATTCCGCTTGTTCATAAATCCTCGAAACCATGAAACGTTTCTTCAGTCGACTTTCCAGGCCAGCCCATTTACATCGAAGTTCTAGCCGATCATTGTGAACAGTCAGAGTTGCAAAGCGTTGTTGATTGGTCTTCTAGATCAATAAGCAACTCTTACAACTAAGCAACTCTTACAACAACAGTAAACGGCGATTTGCCCACCCACAACACAAACTTCTTGTTCCCTCTCGCCGAAAGATTTTCAGGAATTGCTAGCAGTTCAAAATACAATGCATACATGGCTGATAGGGTACTGAAAAAGACGGCCCGGCAAAGATTGATCGAAGCGGGTAAACGTAACCATCCCACAACTCACTCCGGAGAAGCACCGTGAAGATGAACTACTCTTGAACCGAGAAAAGCCCGTGCAGCTTACATGCAGGGGAAAAGGTGAAA